ACCTTCTAATTCTTTAAGATCACCATGTAAACCAAGATTTTCTTCGATTAATTGTTGTCGTTCATCTTTTATAATATCTAATTCTTCTATTAACTGAGCTAATTCAGTAGTAGTAGTATTAGTATTAGTAGTTATGTTAATATCATTTTTAGATCTTTCACTAAAGTCAATATTATTAGATGATATTTGATAATGTTTTGGAATATAATCTTGGTGTATTGAGTTAAGGTCTTCATGTGAAGCTTCAGTAGAAAAAGTTGTTTGATTTATGACGGAATTTTCGGAAGTATAATCACCAAGGAAATCATCAATATCATTGTTTAACATGTCTTTTTATTAAAGACTAAAAAAAAAAAAAATGAAGGTAAAAGTTACTCTCGATATAGTGAATTCTCTATATAATAGAATTTAAATTTGAAAGTAGTTTATATAATAGAATCTAAACTTTGAACAATATAATATAAAGGGAATTTATTAATAAACTTTTGTTTATAATAGAAATATAAATTTTTTTTTTTACTATGGTACAGATCTATTCACTATAACGAGAGTTACTTGTTTTATTTTTTATCGATCAAAGAAACATGCAAACTCGAAAAATACGGAAATTATAAAAAATTTCTTTACCATTTATAACTACTTATCACTTTTATTTAAGTTGTTCTTTATGCATTTCCTTGCAGTGTCACAATAATGTACATCACATACGTACAGTACGTACGTATTTAAAGAAAATTATAATTTAACGTTGAAAATAGTAACTATTTAAAAGGAATGAAGGTTTGCATTAGTATCCGTTTGTCGTAGAATAATCGTTTGTTTTGTATGGTCAATATATAATATCCTTGCTTACTTAGTTGTCACACGGCTTAAAAAGTATTGATACGTACAGTACATTATTGGTTTTTTTATCTGTATGACTATATTGTTTCTTGATCTATGCGTCAACCTTACATATTATCATTAATATTTCGGACAGGTGGGATTTTTTTTTTTCTTTATATTACGTTACGTTAAAAAAAAATTAGAAAATTTTAAATTTTAGCCAGTATCGGTATTCGGAAAATTAATTCTAGTTTTAACGTTAAGCCACATCGCATTGTACCTTCTTAGAGATTATTAAATATTAAACAAGTTTTTTTGAACTAATTTATCATACTATTCTAACTTTATATCGGATATCGATATTATTTTCTCTCGATAATTTTTTTTTTAGAACAATGAAAATATTACTAGACTAGAAGG